TGTGTGTGTGTGTGTGTGTGTGTGTGTGTGTGTGTGTGTGTGTGTGTTGCAGAGCAACCCTGACAATCGGCTGGTTTAAATCCCCTGTACCTCTCTGACCTCTGTCTTTCTGAGGTGGTGACGAAGGGCTGGTCCCCCAACTGCAGGAGACAGTGCCTGCAGGAGGCGGGAGCTCGGCCTCTCCACTGCTCGGCTGTCTGTTTAAACTTCTGTCTGCCCCTCCCCTGGACAGGGGAGGACAGGCCTGAGGAGGGCGGGACTGGGGAGCAGAGGGCAGTGTGGGCCACATGGATTCAAGTAGCGAAAGGCTGTGGGGTGCACTATGGAGACGACGGCTGGTCCCAGACCTACCTCCGCTGCAGGAGAGGAAGGTAGAGCGGGCTGTCCCCCCAACCCCTCTCCAGGGCTCTGAGCCCCTGGCCAATCCATCCTCAGGTCTACACCCGAGTTCAGCCCACTGGGCTCAAAGGCACAGAGGGGCCTGTGTACACACGGGCCAGTGCTGTGCCCTCTGCCCCACCCAAGACTCACAATGTTGAGGTTGGTGAGGATGTAGCGCTCGGTGTCCTCCTGGTGAGCTTGGTGGACATCAGGACCCACGGCCACCAGCAGCTCCAGGTGCAGGATGCCCCCTGCTGCCCGTCTCCGTGTCCGCCTCCAGAGCCCAGCAGCAGGGTCTCCTGGAAGGGAGAGACTGGTTGGCTGGGCTTGGAGGGATGCCCTTCCCGGAAGCCAAGATGCCATGTGGCATGGGCACTCCAGGGGCCTGGCTCCCACTGGTGACCGGGCACTCTGGGCACGAAAGAGGGTGCGCCCAGGAGGGAGCTTCTGCGGCCGCCTCTTCTGTCAAGTGAGACAAGTGTCCCCAAGGGCTCTGTCCAAAGCCCCAGCCTCTGCTCTGCCTCCTGGACACCCGCAGGAACAGAGTCTCCCCCAAGGCACCACCCTCCTCGCAGCTCAGTGGGGGACACCAGCCAGGATTGGGAGGCTGCAGACCCCAGCTCTGCCCCTGAGCCATGTGGTCCTGGAGCCGTCGAGTCCCACCTTTGAGGCTCCGGGCCCCGTCTGCGACAAGGGGAACTGCAGAAGCTTCCCCTGCAGGCTAAAAGTTCCCATTTCCCATGACCTCCCAGAGGTGGGACTGAGCCTGGAGGTGCCATCCTCTCCCAGGAGCTGCACCTTGCACAAACCCTGGGGCAGCAGGGCTGTGGATCAGGTGGGGCAGGGCCCCACTCCAAGGGGGCAGCAGCGCCCGGTGCTTCCTCTTCACTGGCTGGACACGCAGCCTGCTGGTGCCCATCTGGATGTCACCCTCCTGCAGGAGACAGCGGCCTCCAGCGTGCAGCTTGGAGGGGGGCGCCTCTCTGGCTGTCGGCACTGGGCACTGACTTGTCCAAGCCCTGAGCCCCTCTTCACTGCCCCCCACGTGCTGCCAGCACCTGCCCACATGCCAGTCACTGTTTCTGCATGGTCCTGTGGGCCCGCCCAGAAGCCTGGGCATGGCCTCGCGCGGCAACCTTGGTGGCACTGGCTATGCAGTGTGCTTAGACAAGCTCTGTCTGGTGAGACAGCCAGGCAGATGCTGCTGTGGTCACTCACACAGGATCCAGTCCCAAGGTCACCTGCACTCAGTCTGACCCCAAAGCCCCAGCCCCTGTCTTTCCCGGTGCCCTGGGAGGTCGCCAAAGCCTGTTTTGCACCCAGCTCTCCCCCATGCTAGCTGGGCAGGCTGAGGATGCGGGCCTGGCTCATCGACGCCTGTCTCCTCCCTCATGCATTCACAGTAAGGCAGACCGGATGTGGGGGCACTGCCAGGACGCGTGTCTCATGCAAGAATTCAGAATGGGGCCTCTGCACACAGGGTCCCAGCAGGCACAGCTGCCCCAGTTTCCTTCCTGAGCCGCTACTCACCAAGTGGTCTGAGCAGCGCGTGACCCTGGCTACTGTGCCGGGGGGCAGCAGGGCGCGTCCCCCTGTGAAGCAGTGGCTGAGGGGCCCTTTCAGCAGCCGGAGGGAGGCATTCACCACACGCTCGGTGACAAAGGAGGGAGCCAAGAAGCCCAGCTCAGGCCGGGAGGAGAAGGCAAAGGGCACTCCCGGGGCACCCAGGGGGCAGTGCAGAGCCCTGCAGGGCGGTGTCTGGAGCTGGTCCTCGCAGACGCAGGTGAGCGGGGCCACAGTGAAGCGAGGCACTGTGGGACACAGGGGCCACCTCGCTCACCCTGCCCACCACCCTGTCCTCCTGCCCGGGGACAGGCCTGAGTCTCTCCCTTCAGTGAGGGTCAGTAAAGGGGGGCGTGCACAGGCCTGCAGGCCAGGGCCTGGGTTCAAGTCCTGCTCTTCCTAGCTTGAGGGCTGGCAGACCGCAGCTGGCCTCTTCTCCCCAGGCCTCGCTTGGGGGCCGAGTAGTGCTTTTAACTTAGCTGCAGTTTTGAACGCTACACCAGCCACGTGACAACAGGGAGCAGGCACCAGGCTAGCTCACTGTCCTCCTCCCAACACAGCCCAGAGGCAGAGGGCTTGACACCAGGCCATGCCATCTAAGCCCTCAAGGAGAGGCAGAGCTTTGAAGATCTGGGATCCAGCCTGGCCCCAGGCACTGGCTTCCACTGGGGCAAAAGTGGCAACTTCCTAATTCCCCCAACTGGATAACTAACTGCCCACCAACATTTTTTTTTCTTTTCTTTTTTTTTTTTTTTTTTTTTTTTTTAAGCTGGT